ACAGTGGCTGAAAATATCTTTACTCTGACAACTCATCCATTGCAGAAAGTTGCCATATAGACAGAAAAGTAGCACTGTTGAGCTTATCTTGTATGATTTGCTTCATTCCACAGCCATGTTGGAGCTGCTGTACACCAAAGCATGGAGAACCACTTCTCTATTTCTCATCTCTACGGTTCAAAATTTGGGATGCTTTTGCATTTACTCATGATGCAAATAAGTAGACTACAGTCAGATATAATATTAAACTGTCAAAATATCTTTAAAAAAAAAAAGCACCTAGTACTAGTTTAGAAAATAGATTTATTTTTCAGAAAATGCTTCTGCATTTGATTTGAACAAGAAAAGCATCCTTCTTTCACGAAGTCTATTTAAACCTTCTTGATCATACTCCATGTTATAAGCTAAATTAGTTAAGTTCAGCATGGAATCTAATAAGCTGTGACAAAACCACTGTGACAAAACTCTCCAAATTAATACTTAAATTCATGTCATATTACTTTCAGCTTAAAAATGCAAAGGCTTCTATGGTATCATAACCCATGGAAAACTCCCATATAATTTGCTGTCCGCCATTACATCACAGTTTGATTGAGTGTTACTTTTTCCAGGTTTCCTCTCATTTCTGCTATCCACAGTTAATGTCTCATTTTTCATTTGGAAAAAATGAGAATCCATTGGCTCTCTTCTCATAACTCAAGATACTATACCAACAGATAGGGGGAGGAGGGAAAAGCACAAAAAGATTTTTTCAAATTTCCAAAAGAAAGTTCACACAAAGTAGATTTCTTGACACAGAGAAATCTAAGCTATAGCTGCTGTAATTTGCTAGAACTCCATCAAACACCTCAGAGTTCTACTGTTGATCATCATCTGGTTCCATCTGTAAATGTTTCTTTACAAGAAGAAGCTTTTTAAACTTAAATCACTTTTTTAACATTTGAGGATATGAATGAAAAAGTATTTCACATCATCCTCAAAATATTTTCCTTTTTTTCTGGTCTCTTTAAGAACTACATTATACACAGCCAAACTACAGGTTCCATGAACTCAATCTATCATTACGCTTTTCTGAATTGTGTTATTGTCAAATTCAATATGAATAGGCATCTGTGCGAAAGCGCTACTGTTTGAGGCATATATGAGGATAACAGGTAATAAAACTAGAACACTAAGACAGATATTTCACAAATGCAAAGGTGAGATCCACAGCCCATTCTGAGAATGACTAACTCACTTGACTTCACCCCACATATGATTTTATCATAACGCATTACCACCACTTCAAAAAAAAAAAAAAAAATCAGAATAGATGCAGGTGCAACTAGAGCAGGTCCATTCTGTCCTCCCAATAGTGTTTAGTACCTTTAAGGTACTAAAAATAATCAGAGATATTTATTTCCAATGCACATCAGCATAGCTTCGGAAATCAAAGTTCGCTAAGCTGGCATTTCTTTATATTCCTTCTTTTATCAATTTGGTTTATACTGAATGCCTATGTTTACAGGATAATTTAAAATGGAAATTAAAGTAACGAGTAATAGCTTATAAAGGCACATTAAATGATACCCTTTTGTCTCCACCAAACTCACTGTTTTCCTTACTAAAAAACAAACAAACAAAAAACAACAACAAAAACTATTTCATTGAAACCACTGAAGCAGCTTCTTTGAATGACAGGTGTTGTTTTCATCTCTCATCATTTATGAACCAGAGTTCTCTTTCACTTTTTTCTTAAGAACATCTTGGGAGACTGTTTAGCTGATGTAGTCAAAACTCATAAAGCTACTCCAACCAACCCTCAGCTACATAACCCTGTTTACTATTTATGGGCATCACCTGATGAAAACTGGGAATGAAGGCTCAAATACAGAGATGTGAAACATGTAATCCAGCTTTCAAACTACAGACAGCATTCAGTTTGTGTCACTCCTCCATTTAGCAGCTTTTCATGCAAAGAGAGATAGGAAGATTGCTGTCACAGACCAAACCCAGTTATTTCTATTTTTACACTGCAAATTCTTGTGTGCTTGCAGTTTCCAGTAGCAAACACTGAATTCCACCATCACTGCAAGCAATCTTGAAACTTCACTGAACTAGCAAGAAAAAATAAAAAAGAAGCAATACAATCCGATGCTACTGAATTATGCTTTGCTATCTGATCTTTAAGAAGGCATCAAAGATTGAAATGGACAAGCATTATTTCTTATTTCAGATGACATTATGATTGACTGAGACATTAAGACAATGAGAAGCATTTAAGAGAAGCAGCAAGAGACAGCCTTGACCCCATGGCTTTCTTAGATACATTTATTAAATCATCACCACTTGTGTTCCCTTTTCAAAAGAAAAGGGACCCAAGATCACCATTCCCAGCAGTCAAGATAAATACAGTGGCTGGAATATAAAAATATCAGCCTGTCCTTCTATCCCAACATCAAAGACTGCACCCATACATTAAAATGTAAGAACATTGCCCATGCCATGCTCGCAGAAGCCAGTGCCCTTCTGACAGACGTGCTTTGGCTGTTGTTCAGTAAATATGACATATCTTCAGAGCAGTATGAAGAGAAACCTACTTTACAGTTCCCAAGCTCATGTTTCAACTTTATGGTATAGGAATTATTCCTTCTGACTTCCCTTAGAAAATTAAAGAATGCAGAATTCACAAGAATAAGAGAGAGCAGTTATATACCTGTCTTACTGCATAAGCATGCAATATTTTTAATGGCATTTTTAATGAAAATGTTTTAGTGATGAAACTCAGTAGGCCAGTGTCCTGTCACGGGCATAAATTGATCTAGTTAACTCCGTGACAGCCAGGCTGCTGATTAGACTTGATGATGGTCTTGAACAATTTTTGAAACTAAATATCCCTATTCCTATGGAATATCCTGAGTTTGAATGGACCCAAAAGGATCACTGAGTGCATCACCTGGCTCCATGCAGGACCACTCAAAATTCAAACTCAATATCTGGGAGCTTTGTCCAAACACTTATTGAACAGCTCAGGGCTATCGGCCACTGCCCTGGGGAGCCTGTTCCAGTGCCAACCACCCTTTAAGTGAAGAATCTTTTCCCTAACACCCAGCCCTCTAATTAGTGTCTCTTCAAGGCCTCTCTACCCCTGAGATGGTCAACAGCTCCACCCAATTTAGTATCATCTGCAAACTTATTTTGCATTCAAATCCCACATCCAGATCACTTATAAAAAAACTGACGAGAACTACCCTGAAAATGGAAGTATGGTTCTATATGATTTTCTTTCAACTTGTTTTATTTATTAGCTCATCACAAATGCTTCCCAAGTCATCCACTTCACACTGATTTCCCACAAGTGCCCATCCATCTGCCAGAAGGACAGGTTACTCAGTATCTGGGGTAAGCAATGGTAAGTTTTGATCATTTTTCATGTGTGAATGCCACCAATACCCCTAAATCACATATGGTTACTACATACTGACCAACTCAACACTGCTGAATGAAGCACTGAAGTATCTAAAAGACTTTTTCCTCCCTGAGGCAAATGCTACCCTGCCAAGTCACCAGGCCAGGCAATATTAGAAGTAATTGAATAAGTGGCAGGATAAATTCCTACACTGTTCAGCTGCCAAAGCAGAGAGCAAACTGAATTGACTGCTGCTGCTGTTGGCTTAGCTACACACATGAATGGGGGCTTGAGCAATGAAGAAAATCTTTGTGTTTGGAAAGGAGGGCTAAGGTACAAAACTTGTTTTCTGCAGATATGGTTGGATGCAACAGAAAGTGCCACTGATTTATTCACTTTGACAGAGAACAAATAATTCAAACAAATAGGGAGGAGGAAAGCATCTCTACTGCAAACCAAAATTAAGTGCACGCGTGAAATGATGATAATCAGTTCCAACCACAGATGTAAGTACTATGGGTTTCCTGAAGCGTTTGAGTAGCCTAAAAGCATTTCCCTGCCTGAACACTTGGAAGCATATGCTGAGCTCATTTGTGTGTGCCACATGGCACCAATGGTACTGCTACCAAAGCATCAGCCAGCCAGTGCTCACCTCTGGAAGACAGGGATTGTGCTGTCAGCCACACAGGGTTTGGCTGGCTTGTTCTTTAACAAAGGCACAAGGATATGTATAAGGACCAAAAAAGTTCATTGCAGATGTCCTTATAACTTCTATCTCTCACGCACCGCTACTTGAATAAACGTTTTTAAGACCGATATGACTACATTTTGAAACGAGAAACAATTCTGGGCAAATGTAAAACTAGTCTTTTTCAGTACTCAGCCACACAAAAACAAAAACTAGCTTTAAAAAAAGAAAATACAATTGTTTCTTATTTTGGTATTTTTTCTATTAATCAATGTTTAAGATGCATAGGACAGATACAACTTTTAAATAAGCATTATTGACATACACGTTTCCATCATAGCTTTAAAATTAGACAGAAAGGTGTCTATTGCTAAGGCTAAGACCAGTCCTAGCTCTGTAATTCATATGCAAAACACAAGCCAAGCATCAAAATTGGACATTAACAAAATTACTAAAGGACTTTTAAATTAACTTCAAAAGCAAAGACTAATATGAAAGCATGTTCAAGCACATTCCATTTTAAACTGTCAGGCTGAATACTGAGTATCAGATCTTCCAAAATTCTCTTTTTCCTTACCAAAAGGAGAATGGGAAATCTTTTGTTTTAGCTGCAGTATTTTTTCTGGGGATTTACCATCTCTGGTTAATAAAAGAGCACCTGCAAAGCATTTGAGGAAGCCTGCAGTACAACCTCCCAGAAGGGTGCAAGGTGAGCTCCAAACCCTAACTGCCCCCACACAACACAGCCGTAGAGTGGTGAGAAGCACAGCAAGCATCAGGCTGCCCCTCTTTTTATTTTATTTTCTTTTTTAATGTTTTCTTGAAGTGCTCTTAAAAAATAGATAGGGGAAAAAAAGAAAAAAAAAAAGAAGGAAAAAAAAAGACAAGTGCTTTGTGAGCTGCAAAGCTAAGCCATCTACTTACAGGCAGTTTCCTTGGGCATGCTACATCACCACCAGATTCTCCAAAGATGAGAGTCATGTGAGGCAGCACACAGTTCAGCTAGGAAAACACAGTACCGTGTGCTGTGCTAATCCTGCACCTGTGGTGTGTTATTCAGCAGCAAAGAAAGGCAGTCCAGGCTGCTCCTGCCTAATAGAGCTCAGCTGTTTTCCTCAGCCCTCCCTTTGATTGTAAGCTGGCAAACAATGTTTTTTCAGCCAACTACAAAGCACTGTTCAGGCTGCATAGGATATGACAGTAGAAAGGTGAAAGAAAAAGAAAATCCTGGAATTACAAATAGAGCAATACAGAATTTGTAACTACTTCCAGATGGCTACACTCAACTTCCAAAGTTAGGATGTGAAACACACACTGGAACTCCCCTTTTGCTCCCCAGCTCCCTTTAAAGTGTGTCTGCTTGTGCCAGGGATATACCTCTGTATCCTGGCTCCCATGTATCCAGACCAACACAAGGCTTCCAATCAGCACAACTAAGAGAAAGTTTTGATGGTTTCTCTGTTTGCTGTGGTTTACCTTTTAGGCACAGTAAAAAAATAGTGATGGAGAGCAGATGATAATTTAATTAAAGATATGGCCTACAACCAAGGTTGTTGTTTTTTGTTTTTTTTTTTTTTTTTTTTAATAGAAAAAGCCACCAAAGAGTTCTTCAAATCTCTGCCATGACACACAGTTTTTCAGAGCATATAACAGCAACAACAACAAGATAGGAAACTTAATAAAAACTATGTGCAAAGAGGAGGAAAATGTGGTCCCTGGTTGGAAAGATAGCAAAAATTTTGGGAAGTTTTTAATTCCAAGGTAGAGGTACAACAGTTTAGAGTAATCAATTGTCCTGATGCTTGTCTTCAAGATTAACCAATATTTAGAATACTCTGTAATTATGATGTGCAAAGGCATTTAATAAAACAGTGTTATTTATTTAAATTAAAAAAAAAATTGTCAGAGTATTGAGTATAGTTAGATTGTAACACAATGAAATCTTATATTAGACATTTATTATATATAATAGACATGTCAATTAACATCATACACCTCTTCCATATAACACATAACATCTACCATTTCCAAGCTCATATATAATTGTTATACTTGACTGAAAGTTAGGGTTTCTAATCAGCTTTATTCTTTTTGATCTTAAGCTGCAAACATGTAGATGCTGCATTGACAATGTCCTCACAGCATTTTCTATTTAAATGCTTTTCTCCACAAAATCATACTTTAATTTCTACTCCATCATTACCTAATCTAATTCCAAGTTTGCAAACTACTAATGAAAATAACAGGAATTGGAGTACTGGAAAATTATGTATCTGACTTCTTCTTGGATGTTTACTGCTGTTTTTGTTTACCAATGAGATTATTTCCAAATAAGTACATTAAGTTTATTTTATTTAGGTAAAATGTATTAATGTTTTAGAAGAACTATATTCTTATGAGAAAATGTTCAAAACTATCCAGATTTTCAATTCTTTAGTAGAGAAGGGCCCCCTTATCAATGTGTTGAGTGAAAGCAGTACAATTCTTAATGTGACAATCAAACTTAGGCATTTGAATATTCAATTTGATGTATAGAAGAAAAGGTAAGGAATAAGACTTTATACAACATCAACATCAAAATAGCCCAGTGGCTTCAAATTTCCATTAAAAAAAAATAAATATATATATATATATATATATTACCCTAATACTCTGTTTTCTTTTTTAAAGCATCCTTAACTACACTTTCTTCAAATTATGCAATACTTGTAGACAACCCTCTGTTACCAAAGGGTTTGAATCATTCCAGTGTTTTGTGCATTCCTGCTGCAACTCTGCTTTAGCGAACTACTGATCTCTGCCAATGAGATCACAAGCACCATGTGTAGAAGACACATGACTTACAATACTCTGCCAATGCAATGACAGGACATGGTCCAGCATGAAATTCCTTGAGCTCCCTAGTGGTGCTCCTGACAGCCATCACACTTCTGTTTAGCTCCAAGGGCATCCCACTTGTTGCCTTGTCTTGTCGTTTCGTGGGGTTTTTTTAATTATTATTGTTACCATGTTCTAGGGTAACTATGTGAGAAGGAAGGAGGAGGTATCCCCCATGTTTTGGTCTCACTTTCCATGCTTTCACAGTTCTCCTAAAATGAGGATGCAATCAGATGCTGAGATGAACTACACAGCCAATTTGCTTTACATTTCATAAGGTTTATATTGAATGTGGTAAGTCAAAATGAACCAAAATAATGTAAACCAGCCCTTCTCTCTCACCCCTACTGTCACCACACATACTCCAAAGTGACATCTCATTTTAGAGCAACAGAATGGTGACCCCCAGGTCACAGATTTATTCATGTGGTTAGGCCCCAGCTCAGTTCCACTTCACATGTGAGCCCAGCCTTTACAAGGAAAAAGCTCTGCACAGTGCTGGAGCCTGGATCAAATCAGGCAGCCTTTTTGACAGAGGAAGGTGAGACGAAGTGGGATGGGAAACTTCAACCAGCAGCCCAGGTTCCTCAAATCCAAGAACCAGAGTTGAACAACAAATTACCTGACGCTGGAAATCAAGTAAAGATAAAATCAAAGAAATTCAGTGATTGTACCACTGTGTAAAGGAACAGGAACTTAACTGTGATTTTTCAAATCTTAGGCCAAGTGCCCTCACTCTGTGTTATCCACACATCTTTACATACGAATATTCAATACAATGTGCAAAGCACATTTTTAAAAAAATGTGAAGAAAATGGAAGCTGAAGAATAAGCAAGATTGATAACAATTTCTTTAAGTAGGAATAAATTTTGCAGTTTCTTTTACAACTGGTCACACACCTACATCTTTATACTGAATTAGCTTTTCAAAACAGTGGACTAGATAGCTATATAGACTAGGAACTAGATATGGAGACTCCTCTGCATGTCACCAGCAAAAATTGACCTAAAGCAAGGAAAAGCTTGCTGCTGGATTGCTTATCTGAAATTAGAACCTTGTCCCAGCTGGAACTCTTCAAGGAGATATTCACCTTACACTGCCAGTATCTGCAACTTACAGTAAATACTCTTTTTTCAAGTAAAAGAACTCAGGTCAAAGATGATACGGAGATGATGACAGAAATATAGAAGAACATTAATGCTCAAAGCATGAGGCATTGTTGCTTTATTATTCCCATTTCAAATTTTGTTCCAGAGGTAATAGAAATACAGCATTTCCTATGAGTGTTAAATCTACTCCTTTTTTTCTCTTTTTTTTTCTCCTGAAGCATGCACTTAACTCTATCATAATGGAAAGGCTACCACTTTACTACATTCAGGAACCATGCCAAGGGAATTGTCAGGAAAATGTATGGGGAAAAAAAAAAAGGGCATTTTACTTTCATTAATTCATTAAAATGTCATAAAAAATGCTACAGCACAAAATGCAATAATTGCCAGCTGCCAAATTATTTTCTCATTCTCCTCTGGCCCTCAACATAATGCCTCCTTTAGGCTCACTGCCAGCGATGTTTGGAACATTAAAAATATCCCCAATTTCTGCAGAGATTTTATGTGGCAAAATGTGCTCTGATGGACAAAACTGAAGCAAATCTATGAGCAAAGGGATACTATTTATTTTAAATGACGAGAGAAACAAGACGGCTGCATGCTGTTAACTTACCCGCAGGATAAGTAACAATACAATCTGTATTTGTAGGACAGTTCAATGATAGGAGGTTAGAGGTGGCTGAGGACAAATTTGGGTTTCCAATTAACACTCGTGAGCCATGAAAGCCTTGTCTGCTAGGCGCCATCACACGCAAACTATCCTCCCATAGCACAGGGCCCTTGCTCTCGGCTGGGTTCAGTGTCTCCTTACTTGCTCAACAGTGTAAGCAGAGGGATCATTAGTTATGACTGGTAGAGTCTCAGAGATAATGTTGACTCTTATTTCAGGAACTATTAAGCTATAAACACTGCTCTGAAAGCCATTTATCTACATTTGAAGATAAACAGAGAAGCTACTCAATTAACAAGATTGCAAGAAATAAGCTACAGATGCCAAACTGAGAGACTTTAAATTCCAAAAAGGAAAATGTGTGCGTTTAATAAGCATAATTTTCTACCACAAAATTACTGATATGAAAGTTCATAAGAAGTATAACCTCACCACTCTGCAATATCTGAGAAAGGAACACAAATCAAAATGTAATTACAAAACAGTTAATTCCAAGTAACGCAGATTACATTCACTCAGAGTTTGCAAGTTACTACCAGAGATATCAGTGTTGAAGTATAGCATTATAAAGTGGAAATCTATGTAGAACAAAATTTAAAGTTCATCTCTGCATCGCTGCAATTTGAAAATCAGATGCTATCAAAGACTTCTGAGAGCGTGATAAACACTAAACCTGTCATGCCTGAATCCACACTTGCTAGGGAGAACATTCTTGCCCAGATAAGCAACAGAGTATGAAATTATTTTCCTGAGTCTTGCCAACGAACCCTTTATTATTATTTTTTTTTTAGTGAACACTATCTGTTTGGCTGTATCTCTATGAGATCTTTAAGATAATTTAATAGAATCAAAAGGAAAAAAGGCACCAAACCACTGAAAGGCACACCCACAAAATAGTTTCCAATATCCTTTACAAAGACATAAAATGCAAGGCGTTCTAAGTCAGGAAAAAGAAGGACCTTTTTTTTCTTTTGGTCACAACAATTAAAAACCTGATCTTTCCTTGTGCTTACAGATACCAATGCCTTTCAAGGCAGCTCAGGGGTCAGAGTGGGGAACACACAGGTGCACAGTGTGTTGGCAGCTGAAATCTTGTGAGGTTGTGCTGAAATCCTATCCCTCCCCTCCACATTCCTCCAGGCATTATAAACGCTCCCTGGAGGAATATTACCCTAATGCAGACTAATTTTCCACAAACAACCCCAACCTCATTAAACCTCTTCTTTATCAGCATTGTTCAAAGCTGTTTTTCTGGTAATATTGAACTCCTTTACGCCTGTCTAAGAAGAAAAGCAACTCCTTTTATTTTACCTCTGGTATCACTTCTCCTATTCAGGTCCATTGGCACTACACAATAGATTCAATAAAAATATTCAGTTTCATCATACGGTAGTAATGTCCTAAAGACTACGACACAGAGATTAAGAGAGAGAGGTTATGTTCCCATAAATAAATACAGAGTAAAGGCACTGTTCTCCAAGCAGGGTCTGATAGATTTATATTGGTGACTCATCCAGTTGGCAAGCAAGCTGAAGTGAATTAGCTGGACAATATTCCCAAAGCAGGTGTTCTCCTGGACCTGTGGTTCCTCATGCTCCTGAAATGACCTCCTATTCATCCCTAGACAAATCCTTTTGGCCTTCAGTAAGATCACACAAATTTAATTCTCTTAACATGAGTATCCACTGCCATTAAAATCATTTAAAAATTTGAATATGTTTTTGCCTATCAAAAAGAAGAACTAGCTTGCACACAGGTATACTGCAATG